TGCTATTTACGGTAAGTTATAATCCGATTGGCGTATAATTATTATTAAATATATAAAATACATTTTGAAGAGTGGAACAATATTGCGAAAAGTCATACAAAGATAGAGGTCAGAGAACATAGTAAAGTGAAGTCATCGATATCCAATAAAGTAACATAATTTAAAGAATAGTCCAGTAAAAAGCCCTCCTCCAACACAAACACACATGTTTTGATATTTTTTATCATTGGAATATCTGTATGATTACATTTTATTTATTGTACAGATGAGACAGCCCCTAATGTGACTTGCCCAGTTGACATTGAGGTGTGCACGGTCATAGGAACAGATTCAGTCGATGCCACCTGGGAACCAGCCAATGCAACCGACAACTGCTGTAGTGATGTCAACATAACTACTAACTACACTAGCGGAAATTCTCTGACAATTGGTGTATACACAGTAGGATATGCAGCAAGAGATTGTAATGGGAATGTTGGTTACTGTCAATTTACTGTTGAAGTTAAAGGTACCACAAACTTTTTCAAATAATTAACATCATTAAACGTATGTTTTAGTAGATAAAAATAAGTTTGGTTGTTCACAAGAACGTGTTTGAAATAATAATAAAAACATATTCTGTAGTTAAGCCATTTAATTTTACAAATGAATGTAATATATGTTGCACTGAGAGCATTTTATGGATTATAAATAGATTGTGAGCCTCCAGACCTTCAATGTCCACCTAGCCAAAACGTAACAGGTAACGATAACTGCTGGGCAAATGTCACATGGACAGCACCATATGTTACAGACAACTCTGGAGACTCTTTCACACCAGTATGTGATTATATTGGAAGCACATTTTATGATGTCAGCACTTTTGTAACATGTAATGCCACTGACAATTATAATAACACTGGCAATTGTAACTTTACCATTGCTATTTACGGTAAGTTATAATCTGATTGGCGTATAATTATTATTAAATATATAAATTACATTTCGAAGAGTGGAACAATATTGCGAAAAGTCATAAAAAGATAAAGGTCAGAGAACATAGTAAAGTGAAGTCAGCGATATCCAATAAAGTAACATACTTTAAAGAATAGTCCAGGAAAAAGCCTTCCTCCTACATAAACACACATGTCTTGATATTTTTTATCATTGGAATATCTGTATGATTACATTTTATTTATTGTACAGATGAGACAGCCCCTAATGTGACTTGCCCAGTTGACATTGAGGTGTGCACGGACATAGGAACAGATTCAGTCGATGCCACCTGGGAACCAGCCAATGCAACCGACAACTGCTGTAGTGAAGTGAACATAACTACTAACTACAGTAGCGGAAATTCTCTGACAATTGGTGTATACACAGTAGGATATGCAGCAACAGATTGTAATGGGAATGTTGGTTACTGTCAATTTACTGTTGAAGTTAAAGGTACCACAAACTTTTTCAAATAATTAACATCATTAAACGTACGTTTTAGTAGATAAAAATAAGTTTGGTTGTTCACAAGAACGTGTTTGAAATAATAATAATAACATATTCTGTAGTTAAGCCATTTAATTTTACAAATGAATGTAATATATGTTGCACTGACAGCATTTTATGGATTATAAATAGATTGTGAGCCTCCAGACCTTCAATGTCCACCTAGCCAAAACGTAACAGGTAACGATAACTGCTGGGCAAATGTCACATGGACAGCACCCTATGTTACAGACAACTCTGGAGACTCTTTCACACCAGTATGTGATTATATTGGAAGCACATTTTATGATGTCAGCACTGTTGTAACATGTAATGCCACTGACAATTATAATAACACTGGCAATTGTACCTTTACCATTGCTATTTACGGTAAGTTATAATCTGATTGGCGTATAATTATTATTAAATATATAAAATACATTTCGAAGAGTCGAAAAATATTGCGAAAAGTCATACAAAGATAGAGGTCAGAGAATATAGTAAAGTGAAGTCGGCGATATCCAATAAAGTAACATAATTTAAAGAATAGTCCAGGAAAAAGCCCTCCTCCCACATAAACACACATGTCTTGATATTTTTTATCATTGGAATATCTGTATGATTACATTTTATTTATTGTACAGATGAGACAGCCCCTAATGTGACTTGCCCAGTTGACATTGAGGTGTGCACGGACATAGGAACAGATTCAGTCGATGCCACCTGGGAACCAGCCAATGCAACCGACAACTGCTGTAGTGATGTCAACATAACTACTAACTACACAAGCGGAAATTCTCTGACAATTGGTGTATACACAGTAGGATATGCAGCAACAGATTGTAATGGGAATGTTGGTTACTGTCAATTTACTGTTGAAGTTAAAGGTACCACAAACTTTTCCAAATAATTAACATCGTTAAACGTACGTTTTAGTAAATAAAAATAAGTTTGGTTGTTCACAGGAACGTAATTGAAATAATAATAATAATAACATATTCTGTAGTTAAACTATTTAATTTTACAAATGAATGTAATATATGTTGCACTGACAGCATTCTATGGATTATAATTAGATTGTGAGCCTCCAGACCTTCAATGTCCACCTAGCCAAAACGTAACAGGTAACGATAACTGCTGGGCAAATGTCACCTGGACAGCACCCTATGTTACAGACAACTCTGGAGACTCTTTCACACCAGTATGTGATTATATTGGAAGCACATTTTATGATGTCAGCACTGTTGTAACATGTAATGCCACTGACAATTATAATAACACTGGCAATTGTAACTTTACCATTGCTATTTACGGTAAGTTATAATCTGATTGTCGTATAATTATTATTAAATATATAAAATACATTTCGAAAAGTGGAACAATATTGCGAAAAGTCATACAAAAATAGAGGTCAGAGAACATAGTAAAGTGAAGTCAGCGATATCCAATAAAGTAACATAATTTAAAGAATAGTCCAGGAAAAAGCCCTCCTCCCACACAAACACACATGTCTTGATATTTTTTATCATTGGAATATCTGTATGATTACATTTTATTTATTGTACAGATGAGACAGCCCCTAATGTGACTTGCCCAGTTGACATTGAGGTGTGCACGGACATAGGAACAGATTCAGTCGATGCCACCTGGGAACCAGCCAATGCAACCGACAACTGCTGTAGTGATGTCAACATAACTACTAACTACACTAGCGGAAATTCTCTGACAATTGGTGTATACACAGTAGGATTTGCAGCAACAGATTGTAATGGGAATGTTGGTTACTGTCAATTTACTGTTGAAGTTAAAGGTACCACAAACTTTTTCAGATAATTAACATCATTAAACGTACATTTTAGTAGATAAAAATAAGTTTGGATGTTCACAAGAACGTGTTTGAAATAATAATAATAACATATTCTGTAGTTAAGCCATTTAATTTTACAAATGAATGTAATATATGTTGCACTGACAACAATTTATGGATTATATATAGATTGTGAGCCTCCAGACCTTCAATGTCCACCTAGCCAAAACGTAACAGGTAACGATAACTGCTGGGCAAATGTCACATGGACAGCACCTTATGTTACAGACAACTCTGGAGACTCTTTCACACCAGTATGTGATTATATTGGAAGCACATTTTATGATGTCAGCACTGTTGTAACATGTAATGCTACTGACAATTATAATAACACTGGCAATTGTAACTTTACAATTGCTATTTACGGTAAGTTATAATCTGATTGGCGTATAATTATTATTAAATATATAAAATACATTTCGAAGAGTGGAACAATTTTGCGAAAAGTCATACAAAGATAGAGGTCAGAGAACATAGTAAAGTGAAGTCAGCGATATCCAATAAAGTAACATAATTTAAAGAATAGTCCAGGAAAAAGCCCTCCTCCCACACAATCACACATGTTTTGATATTTTTTATTATTGGAATATCTGTATGATTACATTTTATTTATTGTACAGATGAGACAGCCCCTAATTTGACTTGCCCAGTTGACATTGAGGTGTGCACGGACATTGGAACAGATTCAGTCGATGCCACCTGGGAACCAGCCAATGCAACCGACAACTGCTGTAGTGATGTGAACATAACTACTAACTACACTAGCGGAAATTCTCTGACAATTAGTGTATACACAGTAGGATATGCAGCAACAGATTGTAATGGGAATGTTGGTTACTGTCAATTTACTGTTGAAGTTAAAGGTACCAAAAACTTTTTCAAATAATTAACATCATTAAACGTACGTTTTAGTAGATAAAAATAAGTTTGGTTGTTCACAAGATCGTGTTTGAAATAATAATAAAAACATATTCTGTAGTTAAACTATTTAATTTTACAAATGAATGTAATATATGTTGCACTGACAGCATTTTATGGATTATAATTAGATTGTGAGCCTCCAGACCTTCAATGTCCACCTAGCCAAAACGTAACAGGTAACGATAACTGCTGGGCAAATGTCACCTGGACAGCACCCTATGTTACAGACAACTCTGGAGACTCTTTCACAACAGTATGTGATTATATTGGAAGCACATTTTATGATGTCAGCACTGTTGTAACATGTAATGCCACAGACAATTATAATAACACTGGCAATTGTAACTTTACAATTACTATTTACGGTAAGGTATAATCTGATTGGCGTATAATTATTATTTAATATGTAAAATACATTTCGAAGAGTGGAACAATATTGCGAAAAGTCATACAAAGATAGAGGTCAGAGAACATAGTAAAGTGAAGTCAGCGATATCCAATAAAGTAACATAATTTAAAGAATAGTCCAGGAAAAATCCCTCCTCCCACACAAACACACATGTTTTGATGTTTTTTTATCATTGGAATATCTGTATGATTACATTTTATTTATTGTACAGATGAGACAGCCCCTAATGTGACTTGCCCAGTTGACATTGAGGTGTGCACGGACATAGGAACAGATTCAGTCGATGCCACCTGGGAACCAGCCAATGCAACCGACAACTGCTGTAGTGATGTTAACATAACTACTAACTACACTAGCGGAAATTCTCTGACAATTGGTGTATACACAGTAGGATATGCAGCAACAGATTGTAATGGGAATGTTGGTTACTGTCAATTTACTGTTGAAGTTAAAGGTACCAGAAACATTTTCAAATAATTAACATCATTAAACGTACGTTTTAGTATGTAAATATAAGTTTGGTTGTTCACAAGAACGTGTTTGAAATAATAATAATAATAATAACATATTCTGTAGTTAAGCCATTTAATTTTACAAATGAATGTAATATATGTTGCACTGACAGCATTTTATGGATTATAATTAGATTGTGAGCCTCCAGACCTTCAATGTCCACCGAGCCAAAACGTAACAGGTAACGATAACTGCTGGGCAAATGTCACATGGACAGCACCCTATGTTACAGACAACTCTGGAGACTCTTTCACACCAGTATGTGATCATATTGGAAGCACATTTTATGATGTCAGCACTGTTGTAACATGTAATGCCACTGACAATTATAATAACACTGGCAATTGTAACTTTACCATTGCTATTTACGGTAAGTTATATTCTGATTGGCGTATAATTATTATTAAATATATAAAATACATTTCGAAGAGTGGAACAATATTGCGAAAAGTCATACAAAGATAGAGGTCAGGGAACATAGTAAAGTGAAGTCAGCGATATCCAATAAAGTAACATAATTTAAAGAATAGTCCAGGAAAAAGCTCTCCTTCCACACAAACACACATGTTTTGATATTTTGTATTATTGGAATATCTGTATGATTACATTTTATTTATTGTACAGATGAGACAGCCCCTAATGTGACTTGCCCAGTTGACATTGAGGTGTGCACGGACCTAGGAACAGATTCAGTCGATGCCACCTGGAAACCAGCCAATGCAACCGACAACTGCTGTAGTGATGTCAACATAACTACTAACTACACTAGCGGAAATTCTCTGACAATTGGTGTATACACAGTAGGATATGCAGCAACAGATTGTAATGGGAATGCTGTTTACTGTCAATTTACTGTTGAAGTTAAAGGTACCAGAAACATTTTCAAATAATTAACATCATTAAACGTACTTATTAGTAGTTAAAAGTAAGTTTGGTTGTTCACAAGAACATATTTGAAATAATAATAAAAACATATTCTGTAGTTAAGGCATTTCATTTTACAAATGAATGTAATATGTTGCACTGACAGAATTTTATGGATTATAATTAGATTGTGAGGCTCCAGACCTTCAATGTCCACCTAGCCAAAACGTAACAGGTAACGATAACTGCTGGGCAAATGTTACCTGGACAGCACCCTATGTTACAGACAACTCTGGAGACTCTTTCACACCAGTATGTGATCATATTGGAAGCACATTTTATGATGTCAGCACTGTTGTAACATGTAATGCCACTGACAATTATAATAACACTGGCGATTGTACATTTACTATTGCTATTTATGGTAAGTTATAATCTGATTGACGTATAATTATTATTAAAAATATAAAATACATTTAGAAGAGTTTATAAATTACATTTCTCCCTCTAATTAAAGACCGTACTCTATACTACTCATATGAGACCGTCGGTAGCGTACCCTTGTTGTAGTGGAACAATATTGCGAAAAGTCATACAAAGATAGAGGTCAGGGAACATAGTAAAGTGAAGTCAGCGATATCCCATAAAGTAACATAATTTAAAGAAAAGACCAGGAAAAAGCGCCCCCCCCTCCCCTACACACACACACATGTTATGATATATTTTATCATTGGAATATCTGTATGATTACATTTTATTTATTGTACAGATGAGACAGCCCCTAATGTAAATTGCCCAGTTGACATTGAGGTGTGCACGGACCTAGGAAAAAATTCATTTGATGCCACCTTGGAACCAGCCAATGCAACCGACAACTGCTGTAGTGATGTCAACATAACTACTAACTACACTAGCGGAAATTCTCTGACAATTGGTGTATACACAGTAGGATATGCAGCAACAGATTGTAATGGGAATGTTGGTTACTGTCAATTTACTGTTGAAGTTAAAGGTACCAGAAACATTTTCAAATAATTAACATCATTAAACGTCCGTTTTAGTAGATAAAAATAAGGTTGGTTGTTCAAAAGAACGTGTTTGAAATAATAATAAAAACATATTCTGTAGTTATGCCATTTAATTTTACAAATGAATGAAATATATGTTTTACTGACAGCATTTTATGGATTATAATTAGATTGTGAGCCTCCAGACCTTCAATGTTCACCTAGCCAAAACGTAACAGGTAACGATAACTGCTGGGCAAATGTCACCTGGACAGCACCCTATGTTACAGACAACTCTGGAGACTCTTTCACACCAGTATGTGATCATAATATTGGAAGCACATTTTATGATGTCAGCACTGTTGTAACATGTAATGCCACTGACAATTATAATAACACTGGCAATTGTACATTTACCATTACTATTTATGGTAAGTTATAATCTTATTGACGTATAATTTTTATTAACAACATAAAATACATTTCGAAGAGTTTATGAATTACATGTCTCCTTCTAATTAAAGACCCCTCCAATTAAAGACCACTTATCTGAGATCTGAATTTGAATTATGTCTTTTATTTTTATTAATCTTAATAGCGACCAAAGCTGCTAAAGACCAGAGAAACACCGGTCCCAAAAGTGGTCATTAATTAGAGGGAGACCTCTATTATTATTTTATTTTTATCATTATTATTGTTATTATTATTATTATTATTATTATTATTTTTATTATTATTATTATTATTATTATTATTATTATTATTGCTGTATCATTATTATTATTATTATTAGTAGTAGTAGTAGTAGTAGTAAAATAGAATATAGGGTATTAATTCTAAAATTAAATAAAAAATGAAAGATGAAGTATTGTAAAGTTTACAATATTATTAGAATATAGGAGGAGGACGGTATACACTTTCTCTAAGGAGACGTTCTGTTTATCAGCTCCGCAAAATTTTCAATAAAATCTTGGATTACGCTTGAAAATTTACTGTAAAAAAGTATACAAAGTATTTTAGTATTCTCAAGGAAAATGAAGGTAAAACGTATATTAATTTCTTGAGAAAAGGTGTACGAATTCTCAACTTTAAAAATGACAACGATTGACAGCTCAAACGTCCTGCCTAGGAACCTTCTCAGTACGTAAACAAGGTTGCCAGAACTATCCCATATATTTATACAATGTTCTCGTCTAGACTCCCTGCAACCTTCCCCGCCTAGGAGACATCGTCCCCTGATGACTCACATAAGTAACTACTGTACGTCTTTCCTTATTATCTGGTATTTCAGAATTTAACCACTATTAAATAACCAAAAACTGTACCAACATCATAATCATGTATAGATGCAAACAATATCTTAAACTACTAGTAAATCATTTCCAACTCTTTAAACACAAACGCCTCAATTGTAACTTGAACCATATTTGCAATCAGTTGTGTGTATCATATCGGTCATACAACAGTAAGCAGTTTATAACGTAAAAACTAGTTATCAAACTTTACAATATCAAGTTTCCAAAAGTTAAGCCTTATAGATAAGCCGTAAGTGCTTAATGTAACGTTAAGTGCATAGTTCAGTATGTCTAATTAGGTATATCTATCAGGTGGTTTACCCCTGTTTGTCCTCACTGGGTAGCGACTTTTTGATCCACCCGTTTGATTATCAGTTTCTACCTCATCTTGTTCCTCCTCACTGGCTTCCGATTGCTCATCAGGTTCACCGTCAGATTGTTCGTTAATATTCATCTCCCCAGAGCATCCCGGTTCTACGTCATGACTAACCTCATCATATAGAACAGATTCATTCCCCTCTGGTGTTGGCTGGAATGCGTACCAGGTTGTGGAGTCAAGGTCCAAATCCTCGCTTGAATCTGATGAAGGAGTGTCATCATTCGTCGAGAGTAGGTCTATTTCACTGTCTGAAAGCCACGGGCAATGCTTCAATTCACATCGGTGTAGCACTTTCTCCTTTCCCAGTTTGTTGCGTACCACATATACAGGGCTGTCCTCAAATGGTTGCTTTATCACTAAATATGGCTCACTCTCCCAATAGTCCTGAATCTTTGATCGTCCTTTGAATCCTCGCGTACAGACCAGTACATGCTGTCCCACGCCGAGGGGTTTCTCAAATACCTTCTGAGACCGTCCACGAGTATTGGCTATCTGTGCTAAGTGTTTACTCGCTATCCTGCGGGCCATTTTAAGCTGGGACTGGTGTTGAGTGACATACGTTGCTATAGTTCCATCATTAGTGGATCTGGCTTCCCCGCCTAAGACCAAACCATGTGGTGGACGAGCGTTTCTTCCAAACATTAAGAAGAATGCTTCAATTCCGGTGCTGGAGTGTGACGTGTTGTTGTATGAAAACACCAGGCTAGGAAGGTATTCAGGCCACTTCAGCTTGGCCTCCTCCGAAAGGGTAGACAAGAGGTTGTGAAGGGTCCTGTTGAAGCTCTCGCATTGCCCGTTTCCTGAGGGGTGGTATGGTGTAGTGTGGCTCCGTTTAATGCCGTAGAATCTCGTACAACTTGTGCCTCAAAGTTTCTGCCTTGGTCCAAGTGTAAGCGCATTGGACATCCATAAGGAGTAAAGACATACTTCACTAGGGCCTTGGCGATCGTTATAGCACGCTTATCTCTAGTCGGAATTGCCCACGCATATTTCGTAAACACGTCAGTCAGAACCAAGATGTTTTCGAAACTGTCTTTTGATGGTTCTACTACAGTGTAGTCCATAGCTATAGTCTCCATTGGAGCCGAAGCAGTAATCATCCCATACACCGGTAGTGTTTTCCGCACCGGGGGTTTACTCAAGCTACAGCGGCGACACTTTGAACACCACTTTTTGATCATTTCGGACATACCAATCCAATAGAAGACCTTCCAAATTGATTTGAAGGTTCGTTTTGCTCCAAAGTGTCCTGCTTCATCATGGTATTTAGTAAGCACTTCTCCCACCAGGGAAAAAGGAAGGACCTTCTGTGAATATACCACGTTATACGGGGC